GAACTTATTACATGCGTTACGGAGGGGGACCATGATTTATCCTTCAAGTAAAATTGCCAAGTTTCAAAGAGTGACTACAACTGGCAATTTCACAAGTAGGATAAATCATGATCTAATACCATAACGAGTGTAATGATTTTTTAAACCATACTGATAATCAGCAGGAGAAATAGATCCAGACCAACCAAGTTCAAAGACCAGTCAAGTGGATAAAAAGATCCATTCAAGACTCCTATCCTAAAAACAAAACATTCATGCCCACCGGAGTCAGAGTGAGGATTGAAAAACAGTCAGGATTTTTTTTTTTTGGCCACACTAATTATATTTTAAGCTTAAGGTCAGAAACCAAAATTGTTCTGGAGGGAAAATTATTCGTTCATTTCGAAAATGATAAGAAAGCGGGTAAAGGCATTATCTATTGGTTGACATAAATCACCTCGTGAAAAAGTTTTTCGGTTATGAGATAATTGTCTATAGTGCGGTCAAAAATGCATGCTGCAACTTATTGTGAAATATCTCCTTACCTATAGAACATAGATTCACCAACTTTTGCACAATGACTTATACCAATTTGTCTTAACAGGTGAATATTTTTTCAAACTCCTGCACACGGTATTCTAGAAAATTCCTTAATAAACACTAATAAAAAATCCCTGTCGATGGTTCTACAGATTTTAAAAAGTTGACAGCGCGGGCAATATCGCTTTTAAAAAATGTATGTTTAAGGAACATTTAGTGAAAAAAAATGAGTTCATTATAAAAATATTTTTTGTAAGAAGTTTTGCTTCTAAAAAGTGTCATTGGCGAGCTGTGACGTAGTCCATATGCGTATACAAAATGTGTGCGAGAAGCGGGAAGTGCTGTTATCAATCAATCATATTTTCAGCGTGATGAAGATTTATAGTATTTTATATAAATTTATGAAGAAAAGTTTTTAATCGGGCCTCAATTGTTGTGGAAAAATAAGATTAAGTTAAGAGAACTGGATACAAACTGCTGTGCAAAGTATGGTTGACATTGGTTCACCCGTAAAAGAGACATTTGAGGATAAGTTGCGCCACGACTTTTTGACTGCGCTATAGATACTTAGTTCGATCTCCTTTTAACGCGGATAAAATATACTATCAAGTAAGCCATCGTGCACTTTAGGTTATTACGCCAAAAGCATGGTTTTTAGAGGACGAATCAGGATACAGTTTATCACGACTTTCATAGACATTATTGTAGACCTTTAAGGACATACTCGATAATATGGCCCTGTCAGACAAGAAACAAGAAAACGTTCTAGAAGAGACATTTACCAGTTTCTTTCAGACATCGTCAAACTGCACTCTTGACAATTTTTAGTACATTCTTACCTCCTACTCATAGAAAAAGTATCCAAATTATTACACGTTCTTAAAACTGCCTCGAAGCATTACTGGAGATAAAGCTTGTATAGATTGTGGAGAGTTATATTGATTTGAAAAGTGTCTCATTTTGCCTTCCTTTTTTAAACTTAAAACTTTTATTTAATGGGACGTTCATGTACACGCCCACACACGCTCTCTCTCTCTCTCTCTCTCTCTCTCTCTCTCTCTCTCTCTCTCTCTCTCTCTCTCTCTCTCTCTCTCA